TGGTAGGACCAGACTGCAACGCCGGTAGACTCTTGGCTTGTCTTCTGCGCTTGGGGTGATTTTACGAGACGCCGTTATCGCTAGTATGCAAATACGAATTCCGTTAATATACTTGAAGATGAACAACCGTACCTGCGATGGGTTATGTATACGGAAAGCAAGTCAGACAAACAGATGCGCGTCCAAAAACGTGTGCAACCCAGTGATCATTGACTAACACATAGCACAATGCACGTAAAATACATCACTATGCTATTATAAACGATGTCCAATCTACGAAGAGACAACGTATATTAAATACAAAACAATATGCGAGTCACGCAGCGCTCAAAATGCAAATCAATGATAACTACATTTTCCTTATCAATTACTTTTACTTTCTACCTTATGATAAAATATTCACGACCACTGTCTATCGAATAGCACATAAACGAATATTCTAGAATAATTTACTTTTAAGGCGATAGCATAGACGAAACAGTTAAACAGCGAATCACACAAAGCAAACGCTTCCTCACGCTATTCTCGCAGCTTAAATGTTAACCACAGAAAAACTAGCTGCGCTTTCGACAAATGCTGCACATTGCTACACGAAAGGAAAGTTCGTAATTCTTGGAATGTTGGTCTTCTTTACAATTTGCGATGGCGTCATTTCTGAAATCGTTCTGTTTATGGTGGAGCCCCTTATGATGGTGGGGCGCTGAACTCCATTTCCATGTCATCCGGGAGATTTAGAGATGGCAGCGGACACGTGGCAAGCATAGCGTGTAGTCTCCCGCACCACTCCCACAGACCGGCATTCACTTATTAACCTCGGAAGGAAGAAAGGCAGTGACTCCGAGCCTGAACTCGAGACCTATCGGTTCTGAGTCCTATGCCCTACCGACTGAGCAACCCCAGTCTCACTGGAGGTAAAGTAATGATGAAAGACAAACAGCAAACCCAGCGCAGAATGAAACATTAAATTAAATAACCTGCTCGTGGCAGGCAATTTAGTTCACGACCGTCACGAAAGAAATCGTTTTAAGACAGATAATTTACACCGACCCAACCTTGCCGCCATTTAGTGCACATGAATTTTTTCCAATTTACTGTAGTATTTACTGATTTTCAGGTAAACTTATATCAAAAGCTGTCTCCTTATTTGTACCAAGGAATCACACCGCAAATTTCTAACATCTAGTAGCTTAAACGTTATAAATTCATAGTCCTGCAGAGACTGACCACCGTGTAACCCAAATTTAGAATGGTAATTCTGATATTATTCAGCATTCACTGTTCATTATCTACCCCTCATGTTGAAGCGGGCATGCGAATTGAATGCAATTCTTACATTGTTAACGAAGTACGGAGAAATGGGAATGATCGTTATGCTTCCTGTCTAGTTTTATCGAATGTAAACCTAGGAACGTTTTCAAATAAAATTTATGCGTAGAACAAGCGTCTCTGTATTTAACTGGGGTCAAGTAACCAAGTGTTTTAATTATAATGATATCACACTACTGCTAACTCCGGGGGGGGGAACTTTCCTTCGGGACTTTCCTGGAAACTCTTAGGCAGGCAATTAATGGGAGCCTTCGCTGTACTGTAGCACGTTGTTAGATGGAGCATTCCTGCCTCAACCAAATATTCAGTCTGCTAGGATCAATGAGTAATGCCAAAGATTCCAGTAGCCTTGCTTTGGCAGTTTGTGCTACTCTACTGCATTTTTTAACTACCTCATCCTGGGATATAGAAAAGCTTGAATGCTATAATGCACCACCGCACATTGTTACTATTGCTGAAAAGATGTGTGCAGGAGTCATGTTTCTTGTTAACGTTGCAGGAGGGCTATTTGAATAATACTCTATTAGCTGCAGCATTAACCAAAAAGATGTGCTTCCTCGTTGTTATTCGACTTTCTTTTCTAAATAGTGCCAACCCTGGCAAAAACAAAAGTCTCATTCTATAGGAAAGGCGCAGTTCAAAAGATCCAACAAAATATGTTGCTAAACAGGAGTACTCAGATTATATTGCCATGGTGCGTAGTGCAAGAAGCTGGCTGTGTCACTTAACGGCCTTCGAATCTCGGCCTATTCCTTAGCCTACGGTAATCAGAGGATATGGAAATTGATTCATATGGAGGTGAAGACCGTTAGGGGTTGAGTATCTCGCCTTCGTTATCTTCAACGATGTCGCTATCCAATCAGAGTTAGTGGAGGATCACCCTATCCTCGAATACTTTTGGAAACTTGTTAATATTAATGCTGAAAATTGAATTACTCTCCCAATGAAAATCTGCCTGCACGTTGCTTTCTTCCCCCCAAGGGGCAAAGACGACGGTTAAACCATGTACAGCAGTGTTGGCTTTAATGCACGATGAGTGCTAAATGGCAGGACCAGGTAAAGAAGTGGGACATGTGAGCTCAGCAAATATAGAGATTATGAAAAGAGGTTGGCCCTGTTATACAAATTGGTTGAGCATGAACTATTTATTTCAGCCCATGAGTTTCTCGTGCTGTAGGTGAAATATGGCAGACGTCGACCAGGAAGTCAGCGTACAACACGGAAGAATCTTCGATCATAAAAGAATATTTCTTACTGCGATGCAGCAACCGGTTTCCTGTATCCAAAGCGTTGAATAGTTGGAGGATCACAGATC